TGAAAATGCATGATGTAAGACTATATTATGCAAAGATGCAAATGCAAATGAAAATGCAAAATGTATTGATTTCCAAAAGTAACCATTCTTAGAAAAGTTTCATTCTTACAAAAGAGCTTTCATCTTTACAAGAAAATTCAATTCTACAAATACGGTTTGGCTCTGTTATTTAATTCCATGATTTCATTTATGATCCCAGCGACCTTCTCCCCATACTCAGATGATAAACTAGTACAAAATAGAATAATTTCAGCCCTTTTGCCAAGTTCTTGTGTATAATGGGCCACCTCACTCATTAGTGCTATTGCTTCGCCCATCATGCGTTCACGTTCCTCAACCAACATCCGGTGGTGTTCATATGTATCCTTCCATCCCTCCTTAACTTGAGTAATTTCCCTTTTGATATTGGTAATGTGTACTCAACATCGTTAAAACTAACTCTCTAGTCATCTGACTTGCTCTCGTAAAAAGTTATTCTCCTCACGGGTAAGCCTTAAGTTCATCCACTCAGGTGGAACTAGCATTTGAAGTAAGGACTCCTCAAGATGTGAGATATGATCTCTTAGCTCACCATTCGTAGCTCGAGACCGATTCAACTCCTCTTCATAATGGGTCTGTAAATCTTCAATTTCTTCTGTTAATTGTCCCATTCTCCTGCTCTTTGTTTGAAATCTTTGCATCCAAGACCCAATTTCGGCCTGTTTTCTTTCGAGAATTCGATTCCATCCCTGTCTCTCAGTCCATATTTCCTTTTTCTTTTGTTCTTTTTATTTCTGAATCTTCTGATCTTTGGCCTCGAGTTCCTCGAGTATATTATTCATTTTAGCTTCCAAACTACTGACTCGATGTTTTTATGCATCACACTCCTTCAATATAGCTTCCTTTTCAGTCTTCAATTTCTCGACTCTACGGCTTTCAATCTTAAGCTGCTTAGTCACTTTTATTTTCTCAGCTTTATATTTGTCCCGCAATTTCTTCTCGGCTTCAATTCTCTTAAGTTGGCATTTGTTCTCAGCCTCCAGACTTTGAACTCGTTGCCTCTCAATTGCCAACTCTTTAGCCCATTGTTGTGATGTCTTGCTAGACCTAGATTTTTTTTGCCTTTTGTAGATTGTAGTATTCCCTTTTTAAACCAGCCAGCTCGAGATCAACTTTCTCTTTATCTTTCTTCAACAAATCATATCGTTTAACATGGAGACTCCTATCAAGATCTATCATGAACTTTTCTTGTCTTGATTCTTCCATTACTTTGTCTCATTTTTTCCTTTCAACTTCAAACTCGGCAATAAGAATCTCATCTTGTGAAGGTACCACCTTGATAAGCTCTTCCCAAGAAATATCTCCTCCTGGATCTGGCAAAGGGACATTTTCATTTGTCCTTGTAAATCTCCAAGCCTCTTAGTCGGGCGTATACATAACATCTCCATATACAGCTCTTGTTTAAAAGGTTCTTTTCCAGGCGAGAGATAGATCTCGTGCTTTCTTCTTGTAATGGTCTCCACGATAAGTGATTTCAGATTCCCTTAAGCCGCTTGTTATTGGAACAAATTGACGAGCTCTATATTGTCTGAGAACCATTAATGAGGCATAGCTGACTCCTCCCCATAATCCCAATAAAGGGACATGGTCAAGATCCCCACATCTAAATAAAATATCGGTATATCCAAGCAGGGAACACACCAAGCAATATCTCGGTCTTGTAAATTACTGAAAGTTGTTATCCATTTCTTCCTTGGTAACCCTTCTAGCCACTCTTTGCTCAGAAATTCTTTCAAAGGTGAGTACATCATAGAAAACGATGGTATGACACCTTGTCTTCTTTCCAGAAGTGACTGCGAATCCATACAGTGAGTAATTGAGCACATCCTACAAATCGACCCCCTTCCAATCTTCGATAATTATTTAGGGATCATAAAGTTTCTGCCAAAACTGTTGGTGCTGGATTTATACCCTTCTCCAATGTGTCAAAGAAATCTGCAACAACACTCTCCACATGGAACAAAGTCTTTGGAAATATTACTAAACCATATATGGCAAGAGAAAATGTATCCAATCTCTTATCTTCATCTATATGCTCGAGTATCACCTTTTTGAGACAATGCCAAGGAAAACATTCGCTTTCTCCTTTTTGTTGAATGTGTTGTACTATCCAATTTTCACCTATACCGGTAATCTTTACCAATTTATTTTTGAAGGATTGAACTTTCAGAGGTATGGAATAAACTTTATCCACCTGGATGTTTTCGAAATTAAACAGAGTTGTATACTCCTCAATCATTGGTGTCAAATCCTGCTTCTTAAAAGTAAAACAGCTGTACACAGGATTCCAGAATCGAACCAAAGCCTTGAGCAATGATTCATCCATCTGTCAATTCTCGTAAATCGTTCTGCTTGAGATTAGCATTGACATCCGTGGATAGCTGCGATACATAACCTTTAGGCAAACTATTTCCTTTTACTTTTTGCATTTCCTCCGACCAAGCTCGTACAGCTGGATTGAGTTCTTCCTTGTTATGAAAACTTTTTTCCATTGTAATGATCGCACTTCTAATCTGATGATTACTTAGTTAATCAACACCTTTCTTTTATTCATGATGATTATGCAAAAATGCAAAAAATGGCAATGCAAACAAACAAAATAAATTAGAATTACAAACAAAAGAGGAAAAAATGAATTAGTAATAGTAAGATAATCAATAAAATTAAAAGATGTTATCTACAAATAAATATAACACCTACCCAATCATGATATCTACCCAAGCATGCTTTAAATAGATAATAATCATACCCGAACATGCTTTCTACCCCTAAAATGATTATTTCAAGAAATGATCCTAACCGCATGATATCTAGTTCGCATGCTTTTATTCGAAAAGAAAATTTAAAGAAAAAAGAAAGATTATGAAACGCTTCTCCTTTGTGTATACTTAATTTGGGTACCTACTGACAGTCAGAGGTTCGGTATGTCTATACCTAGGGTAACAGTTCTACGGTTCAATATATGCATGGTTTTGGCTCTAACAGGAAAAAGGTACTCGAATTGTCCTTAATGTTGGTACCCCTTGGGCTACTAAACCCTCAATCCTGACCCATTACAGGCTCGTACGGATCGAGTTCAATTCGAGAGGATACATTTCCTTATGTCCATGCGGAGAAACAATTTATCTCACGTAAACATAAGGTATATGAACCCCAAAGATTACTTGCTAAACCCCTGCGGAGAAACATATTATCTCACGTAGGTTAAGCTTTCATCTCAACTTAAAAGGGACAAAACTCGTAATTGAGCTTATGGTATGCAAATGCCGGTGATGTTTGAGAGAAGGAACATTCAGCCCTTTGACTCAAAAGGGAAACGAAACTACTCGACAAAACTTTGGACAAATCTGAAAACAAAGATAAAAATGTTAGTAAGACAATAATAAAATGAAGCAATTAAAAACTTCAATAAAAGGATCATAAGTTAACTAAAGACTCGAACTCATAATTTCTACCAAACGGCAATGTGTAAGCGACTTACAGACTGACTCTCTAAAAAAAGGTCCCCAGCGGAGTCGCCAAGCTGTCGTAACCGTTTTCCAGCGGGACAATCGTTTAATTGTTTTAAACGGTTACGACTTTTAATTTTGAAAATGTGTGATTTTAAAATTAAATTGGATTAAATTGAAAAGAAGTCGCCATCGAATTTTTGGGTTAGGTAAGTCGAATACCTAAAAACGTCTTTTAAAAATAATTTTAAGAAAAAATATTTTTTAAGACAAAAGATGGTATGCGTTTACCAAAGATTCTATTAAAACGGGTTCGGGAGTCGGTTACGCGTGGGGAAAGATTAGCACCCCCACGATACCCAAAATTGGTATTGTATAGCATACAGGTTATCGTAAAAGGTGGAAATCATGAATTAAATTTAAAATTAAATTATGATCCATTTATTGAAATTTTATTAATTTGCTTCAAATTAATTTTTAAAAGAAAATATTTATACTCGATAAGATATCTAGCAAAAACATGAACTTAAATGATTAAAATATAATAAATAAAAATTTAAGGGATTAAATAGCAAAACATACACTTAAATGTCTAAAATAGAAAAAATAGAAATTCTTAGAACATAACCACAAATATGAATAAAAGAGTTTTTATCATGTAATCTAACCCCATGATATAAAATTATGATATCATATTAAAGGTTTTCTTTTTAGCCAAAATAATATTAAGAGTCAAAGCACCCACTAACATATTAAATTAAACCCCTACTAATTCTTAATAATTACATCCTAATACACTAGTAGAAAAAACCCCTTTAATGACGTGCATTGCGCGTCATCTATGGGTACGGATGACACACATTTGCCTGTCGTTGAAGCCATCGACATGAATTTAAGATGGTGCACAACTGTGCGTCATAAATTTATGACGTGCATTTATGACACGTATTTATGACGCACATTTATGACGCGTATTTATGACTCACATTGCGCGTCATTGAAGCCCCTGTCATAAATGAAGATGACACACATTTTTGTGTCATAAATTTATGACACGCATTTATGACTTACATTGTGTGTCATTGAAGCCCCCGTTATAAATGAAAATGACACACATTCGTGTGTCGTGATTGTATTTCGTAAATTATATATATATATATTTATATATATATTGTAGATTAACAAATAATCAAACTAAATCACATTTAATGCCTCATAATACTAAATATATATCATATTATATATAAGTAATCCATTTGCATACAATATATTCACAATACAAGTAACTTGATCTGTATCAATACACACAAACAGTTACATAAACTTACACAAAAATGGTAGAGGGATAAACATTCAAATTCCATATATATGGAATAATGTGACAAATTTAACATTCTTTTTATAAGGATAAAACATGCACAATTCAAATTACAGAGTAACAATCACTGCTAACTGAGAAAGTGAAATATGAAGAGGCACCTCTACATACTTCAAGTAATCTGGAACATCCGATTACTGCATGTATTTAATTCTTTCAGCTGCATAAAACTCGGATGTGCACTCCAGGAAAGGCTTCTCAAAACTTTCTGAGTAAATGCCCAAAGCAGTAAATATCTTCAAAAGATGGTTAAGTAGGGTCCTGTCAACTGCTTCACCTAACCTGCATGATCAAAACAGACACAGTGGATTACAAGATACAAATTTAATTAACACCTGAAAGATAAGAATTAATTACTAACATCATCCAAGAAACTAAGGGGCAAAATTTATGTTGAAGGAAACTAAATGCATGACAATTACAAAAAAGAAAGCAACAAAATAGTAAGTTCCTCAACAATTTTTAGGTTTTTCCTTGAGAATGATGGAAGCATGGATAATAAAAATGAGCTAGAACGAAGCGGATTATAGTTAAATTGACTATGCATCCTAATTGACCTTTCCAGGAAATTCTTTCCGTAAATGAAGATATGTAACCACCTTCTACCACTAAAATCATAGAAAAAGAAGTAAAACAAGCAAATGAATAGTAACATTGAAACAACATTGCATTTTTTGCATAGGTTGTTACTTTGAAACCCACAAAAAACAGAATAGGAATTTTTTTTGCACATTTTGACTTGAATTTTGTTAGAGTTACCTCTCACTCTCAATCATTCTTAAAAGACCGGTGACAGTTTTGTGCTCAACTTCTGGAGCCAGAGAAAGATGTTTATGGAAGAGTTGCAGGCCCATGTCCCACAAAGAACGCACATTTGGGTTTTGTTTAACATATGTTCTGTCCAGGTACAAGGCTATACCACGAATCATCAACATTTGATCACAAAGATCTTGCCAACATTTCTCAACAAGCGATAAGAAAACCACTAGGTCAGGGCTTTACCCAACCAAAGATCCTGTTACAAATAGGAGGATGAAAAACTAAGGCACAAAATACTTGATTTTAATTAAATTCATGGAAAGATACTAAAATAGAAGTGGAGTCTTACCTCTGCAAATAGGAGCTTCTTGCTCAGAAGATGAATAATAGCAGCTGAGCCCACAAGTTGAAGAGTAGTTTCTACCTGAAGATGATGGGAGAAAACCACTATTTGAGTTGTTTTGATGAAAAATACCCAAGTACTATAGAAGGGACTTAAAAACTATACTGCTCGGACTCTTCATTTCTCTTAAAGTACTCATGGCCTACACATTTTTCAAACATGTAAGGACACATTCCTCCAAGGACCATTCAAATGCATAACTTGGAAAAAGTGGAGCCTACCGGTGTTCGACACATATCCCTATCCGATACTCATAACCAAGTAACATTGCTCAAAAATCATACCTCTGAAAAATCCAATAAGCCTAATCCAGTAGCAGCATCAATGCCCAGTGTAACAGACAAGCCATCTGATCCGACCTGCATATTATCACAAAAATATCGAAGAAAATGAAAGAAAAGGTAGGCAAGTAAAACTTTCCAACAAAGAATATTGAAATAGAACTGCAAGTTTTATTTTTTATATTTTTTGTGTCTTGTTAGTTCGTTGTTGCTGAAATAGATGTAAAATTTTCCCAGTGCGACCAAGATATAGGAATTGCATGAGGAAAAAAAATAAAATGAAGATACATACCCCTAATTGAGTGCGTGAAGAGCAAACATAAGGAGAAGGAAGAGAAGAGGAGCTAATGATCGGAGTGTCTCCGAAGTGATTTGCCTTGTGTTTGATGACATCTTCACTTGTAATACTATCCAAATGTTAGAGAAAAAAAGGCAACTAATTCATCCAGTTAAACTGATTCTTGCTGATTATCTCGTACGATCTTTCGCTATCAAGTCCATCTCTTGCATTTTATGTTCGATAGAAACCAAACCGGTCTGTTCAAGGAACCTACATAAGTAATCCAATCAACAAAATTCAGGGTGTATGCAGAGTAACAGATTCCAACTAGAAAAAAAGATTAGAGATTCAATTTCGCTGCTCTGAATCATCATCCCCATGCATATGTAATTACACACTTGTATAAAGATCATCATAAGAAAAAACACTCATTTCAGGCTGCATCCCTCCACTTCATTGTTCTAAAGCTGAGAAAAGAACTAAGCAAGCATGCAAGAATCGACATCTTCAAAACTAAATTCCGAGCCCCCTACTTAAACTTGTTATCTAAACCATGTCATGTTAGGTCCAACCCTAATTAAAATCGAATATAACAGATTACATGACATAGAGGCAGAGAACATTGTAAAAGTTGTAAGCTACAATATTCATCATGTTTAATACGGAACACTCAAAATTCCTCTAAGTTGACATAGTTAATATAGCAAAATATACCTTGTTTCTCCAAGTATGCTCTCAGATCTAACATAGAAAGTTTGTCTAATGACCCATACATAGTTCTCTGGTTTTGTTTCGAGCTATGTTGTTCATCATCCGTGTCTGACACATGAATATGAGACACCATTACTAAGGATAGTTCAAATACATGAAAAATCTTTAAAAAAATTAACCATACACATGAATCTGACACTCCCATTACAATCAGCACTAGAATCTGAAAAATCTTAAAAAAACGTTAACCATACTCATGAATCTACTAACACTCGCACACGAATCTGAATCTAAGTAAAATAACATTCATGTAATGATCAAAGCATGAATAACACATGATGCAACTTCAAAATTAGTGAAAAGCTATAAATTTTAATATTGACTTGACTGGGTAAAAATCTAGCAAAGAATTAAGAAACAGTACCAATTAAGAAGCAAGAATAGGGCAACGACAATTAGAACGAGGAAATAAACATGAAGAATCAAAGAAGAGCCACTAGAGGAGAAAGCTAAACCCAGCATAACAGCAAGGCAAATACCCAACATCAGAAATGTCGATTTTAGTGTATTCCATGTTGGAGCCTGAAACTCAAACAACAAAAAGATTCAAACTAGATACAAATGGCTACAAATATCATGCATAATAGATCATCGATAAGGTAATTGAACCGATGTTAACACCAGGAGCTAAAGCTCCGAGTAAAACTGCTTGGGTTGAAGATATATCGCCTCCCACTTAAAGAGAAAACTGGACTGATACAAATAGAAAAAGGGAAAAAGAGAAAAATGGAGGGAAGAAGAAAGGAGATACCTTTACGATCGAGCTTGTGGCAACGCTTAACGAGGCAGACGTTGTCCTTGGTGAAGTCCCTCAAAGGATCTACGACGTTGTCAAGGGCGTCAATTTCTCTCTCTCAACACGAAAATTGAATGCTAAGATTTAAGAGAGGAGTTTTCCAAGATATTTGTTTTATAGGAGAGACTATTTTAGAGGAGGCGTGGTGTTCATAAAACTTCATGGATGGCAGTCAGATTTGGATACCAGTTTCTAGGTAAATCATAAACTCTTTTTGTCATTAAATCAAACAAAATAGAAATCAACAAAGAGAAAAAGGGAAAACAGAGAAAAATGGTGGAAGCACGGCGTGAACTTTTGTTAACGAGGGGGAAGAAGCGGGAAAGGATGAAAAATAAGGGGGGGAAATTAGAATACGACTCCTAAAGATGACACACAAATTCATCTATACTCCATGTTTTTGTAAATTTTTTGGATTATGACTATTAAATATGACACACATCATTGTAAGTCATAAATCGTTCAGATTTTAAAAAACATGACATTTTTTTATGACACACATGTTTTGTAAGTCATAAATTAGCGTGTGTCATCGTTCATGTGTCATTAAAGGTATATTTTCTTGTAGTGATAAAAGGTAAATACCAATATTCACAACACTAATTTATTCGACATATTAAATAAAAATGAAGCAAGATATAAAGTTATCCTATATTAATTAGTATATACACATATATGCATGTAAATGACCATATTAACATCAATAATTAAATTATACTTAATATTTACATGTGATTTAACATAGACATATGGGAAAACTACTTGATCGAACCTAGAGTTTCACCTATAATTACACACTATTATGACATAATACGTATTCATACAAATGTTTATATCACACAAGTGAAATCTTAATAACTATTAATCGATGAATAAAGTAGAGTCAATCCCTTAATCAAATAAACAATAAAAGCTTAATATACTACGAATGTTTATACACACATAGAATAAAAAACAAACCGATGATCAAAATATAAGGGTAGCTAAACTTAAAGTGAAAATTATAGAATGAACAAAGATAAAGTTATAAAGTGTAAATGGTCATATTTACTGTACTAAAGATGAAATAACCCACAACCACATATAATAGTAAATTGCAACTTAATAAAATTTCATGTCAGATGCAAAAATAAGTAAAAAAATTAAAATAACATCACCTAAGGATGGAAACATAAAATGCGAAAGCAGGGAGACAAAAACACGAGTCCAAACATTCTAAAAGAGGACTAAAATGGAATAAGGTAGAAACTAACGTGATTTACATAGTGAATAATCCTTCCCCAGACGCTAAATTAGATTACCCTACCCCTTTTGAAACGCATTAGTTTTGATAATTAAATAAATATAATGCTTTAAGTGATATTTCAATTCCTAATTCATTTATTAACAACCCTTCAGCGCCTATTCTACTACTTCTTCCATTCTCAAACTTCACGGCCGTATATCACCTAAACTAGAGCCTTCAACGCTTCCATTTACAACTCAGCTCAAAAGATTCGACCAGGTAAGACCTAATCCTAACCCAAACGATTTAACATTTGATTTTCTTCTGAGCCTTGTGCTTCTTCACCCACCATAGACGCAAACCACTATAAATCGGCGACTTTAGACTCCGATCGACCCCTTAAAACTATCATGCAAGCCTCCTAATGAATCTCCAGCCTCGAATGCATCTCTAGTGATGTTGTAATCTCGACGAAAGGACCCTAATTAGTACTGCTCATTCACACCGTCTACTAACATACCCAAAGGTAAACCCAACCTCTCTCCCTTATTTTTGAAGTTACACATTTGTTTTGGAAGCTATTAAAACAAATAAAAAAAAGAAATACAACTGTAAATAATCATGAAAAGAAAATCTTACGCGAATTGGATTTGCGTTGTATTGCTTTGAAAGAGGAAAGAAAACTCGTGTTTACATTAACCTTCCAATTAGAGGAAGAAAAACCTCTTTTACACACTGTTCTTAATTTCAAATAACAGAACTTTCTACACCCTCGTTGTTGATGAAGTTCTCTGCTCGAATCGTTTCTGTTATTTTTTCTTTTTTTCCCCTGATGAGTGTTTTTTTATGTTCGTCCCTCTTTTTTTTCTTTGAATCATCTGTGTATTTTATGGTTGATATCTTCACCGAATCTCCTTGGATGCATTTGAAATTTCTTAGCGTTTGGTATGAAAATGATAAGTTTAGGTATGATTTAGGTGATCTGCTTTTGACTTTGCTGATATCTTTTATTTATTTTGCTGTTTGGTGACCAACATGGTGATGACGACGGTTCGACTTGCTTGACGGTGGCTCGGCTGGAAATTGGTGTATTTGGCGGCGGCTGGCTTCGGTTTAACTTGGCGACCAGCTTACATGGCGGCTACTGATATTGGTCGCGGCTGCTTTAGGAGATTAGGTAGAATTTTGTTACGTGGGTCTATAACTTTCACTAACAATTTTGTCTTTTTAGCCTTCTATCTTGCACATAAATCCAATTGAGGATGGTGCCCACATCCTTGAATCTTGTCACTGTTAGTATGGTGCACGTGATGCGGTCTGTTGGTGAACATGTCGTGCAACTACTGGGGAGATGTCTCGGGTCTGTATGTGGCCTGCATCAAAATATAAATAAATTAATTAATAATAATATTTTTAAAAGTTCGGACAAAAAACGAGTGTCTACAATATATATTTTAATCCCAATCAAAAAATGGGTGTCTACATGGT